GTGAATGGATGGACTGGGTAGGTAACACGGGCGATGAAATGTCCATACAGCTTGCAATGCGCGTAACGAGTGTTGATGAAACTTTGGTGTCGACGAAACATGCGACAGACCAGCGGAATCAATACCAACTGCAACACCTGTGCTCCGTGAAGATGCACGTCCACGCCAGAACAATTTAGTAGGCAGCACAGCATCACCTGAAGCACGGCACAGGAATTACCAGCTTGAAGGCAGCTCTTCGGCGCACCACACACCTGTTCTCCGCGAAAGTGCACGTCTACGCCGGAACAATTCGGTAAGCAGCACAGTATCATTTAGCACGGCAAGAGAACTACAAGCGGCAAGGCAGCTCTCCGGTGCACCGCACAACCAAAGTGAGCCTTTGGGAATTTGAACAAAGCGGCACCACGATTGCACACTGCCAAGCCCGACTCGCGCAATTTCCGTCGCTAAACTGTGTATCCAAATATATTGCACACGCTTTACTGCATATCTCGAAGGTTCCGATGGTCAACGAGAGCTTAGAAACGTCGCCTTAAATTTTATCTTAGCGGTATCCGAATCAATCCGAGGTCCGAGCAACGTAGGGCATATTCTACTGTGGCAATATCGCCGTCGGTCACCAGCGAAATGCACACCGTTCCTCCGTATTTTCACCTTGTACCTACGTCAGACACCACGCTGAACTCTGAAGTCGCTGTCGACCGGCCTCATATGACGGCTTCTGCGTCTGAAATCAACTCGCCGAGACGAACGACAACCAACAAAGCATCCGACAAGCTCCGGCTCAGCTGGGGCTAGCCGCTGCATGGGCGCTGCCATCTTTCCTGTGACGTCACGCATTTGGTTCGGTCATGTGACGTGTGGTCAACTTTGCGTACAATGGCAGCCGCCTTATGGGGGTCACTTTCGAGTGCGGACCGGAACCCCGGTTTATCGCTCTAAGCCCCTCTACCTCGTTGGTTACGGCGGTGCCCATGCACAGCTGCTGCAAAGCGTCTATATATGGCTCTGTCCCACATTTTCTTTTCGCGCCACCTGGTAGGAGCATCAGCAACCTCTCAGCACAGTTGCTTTAACATCTAAACGGTAGTTGGCTCCACATCCGTACAAACAGGGCAGTAGTTGGCGCGTTCAGCAGTCGCGTTCGCGTTGTAGGTCTCCACCCCATGCTCCGGCTAACCCTAAGCGGCTAGTTTATTGAGGAGTTTCAGCGACGGTGTCACCGCCCTGGCGGCCGGTCGCCCAAAGAGAACGAGGGGGATAGGTTCGCTGGGCGTTGGCTTTGTGTAAATGCGTTGACCGCGAACGTAGGCTTATAAACTTCGGCAGCAAGAACATTACGTGGCTCTAGTGTTTCGGTACGAGCAACAGAGGTGACACGATCTGCTACGACCAGCTACGACCACCCGCCGCAGCGATGCAGGCATCGAAGGAGCGCAACCTGTGTACTACGCAATCAGTCGCCGTCGCCCGACGCAGGTCGTTTGGCATTCCGGGCTTTCCGCCCCGGGTTCTTCGCTTGTACTTGGAACCGAGTATTATTTCCTGTGCTTGTGTATGTGCTCAGTGGCTGGATATGTACCTCATAGAGCAGTTCTTCAGAATCAACAGCGACTCAAAGTTGACGGCGGAAGGGCTTGCAGCAACGCTTTCGGTTGGTGCACGGCTGCGTCGACTACAAGGATAAATTTTAAGACACCTGCTAGCATCGTGGACCATAGTCGCTTTATGTTGACACGATTTTGAGTGTATGTACTCCGTGCAAAGGCGAATCTATCGCGTTTTTAATCCACCTTTGTTTTTATTGTTTTTAGCACGCACGACCGACTGCTAAGCAAATGCTTCTGTACCAATCACGGAGTGAATGTCTTCGGCCTTACATTGCGGAACGCTCAATAAAAAGTCATATTCGTTTAGCGAAAAAACTTCCCTTTCGAGTGACCTTCTGATTGATAATTTCTCCCGTACTTAAGTGCTTTAATCAACACGATCGATTAAGTTTCTTCCCTAGTTAGGATATTTTTGCGCCACATGCGGCACTAATGCTTGGCACGATGTATGCCACTGGTGGTATTGTGAATTGGTTTACTTTCAAAGCTAACAGTGTGACAGATGGGACCATTCAATTTTCTAAAAATGTGATAATATGGGAATTTCGTTGCATAACTAGCGTTTTACGTTTAAGATTGATAAGAAACATGCTCATGTGATGATGCATGTCTACAGCATAAGCTTTGCAGATCCAGAATGAATGTGCTATAGGCTACAGCCTCAAGATTTTTGATGGACCAAGTTGGTGATTACACGGCAGTAAATATTGTGGTGAAAAACAGCCCATTGACTCTGAGTTTTGATCGTGACCATTGGTGTGCTGTTGGCAAATTAGGTAATGGCACACCTTTTCCCTGACCATCTGGCTTCAAGGGGCATTGCATCTAGATGTGCTTAAATATCTTTATTTCAAGGTTCAGTGGATCCCTCTGCATCATTACAGTAAGGCAGTCTCAAGCCACAACAAACAGCAGTAAATATACAATGCACAATAAGGAGCACCAGTGCCCAGGCGTATAGTCCGCAGAAGTCAATTTGAGCCTAAAAATGCTTTTGTCTTGTTTAGATAGTTTGCATTTGGTGTATAATCCGCATGGCCCGATTTCCGCGCCCAGTGCATAGTCCGCCAAGCTGGTGCGTTGCGTCTTCGTGCTATTTTTTCTGGGTGGCATTTTCTTCAGAAGTTCTTCGGCGAACGCTATTGAGCCTGAAGAACTGCTCTTGAGGCCCATATCTAGCCACTGAGCACACACAAGCACAGAAAATAACACTCGGTGCCAAGTACAAACGAAGCACCTGGACGGAAAGCCGTGACTGCCAAACGAGCAGCGTCGGGTGACGGCGACTGACTGCGTTGCGCCCCTTCGACGCCTGCATCGCTGCGGTGGGTGGTTGTAGCTAATCGTAGCGAGATGATCTTCACTTCAAGCAAGAAATCTTGCCATACCATAGTCAAGATATGTGTGCAAGTGTTCGACATGGGCTCTCTCACGTTGGTGCAGTTATCAAGAAAGGTGCATATCAACATTGTTGCGTGTTTAAGGCTGAAACTATGACGCATACTTCTCTAAACCTAAATTTATCGGTCTGCGGCTACAAACATTTTCGTTGACGTTGCTTAGATGATGTAACCGTTCAGGCCTCGCATTAAATGGTGTTGCGACTCTTCGGTTGTGTATGAAAACCTATTTTTGCCGTAATGAAAGACAGTTTTAAAAGGACACGTGTCTTTTGCTAATACATATCTCCCAATTTACAATGAGAGGCAAACAAAAAATCAACTGCATACATCTACCACCTAGCATAAGCACCTTTGGCATTCATTCTTGAGCACACTCAAATATCAGCTTAGGTTGCTCTTGTTCTAGTATCTTTGCCCTGTTTTGTAAAAAAAAAAAAAGTTAAAAAAGCTTACCTGTGTTCTCCTTCTGGCATTTAATACAGACTTGATTGTCAGCAGATCACACACAGCAGATATCACCGTGGCACATTTAACTCGAACGACCGATGAGCCTTTTGCTACTACAACAAAGCTTTCAGCAAGAGCCAAAAGGAGGCTTGTAGGGGTGCACAAACACATCGAAATGAGATTGGCGCGGCCGGGGCTTGTTTATATTATGCGTACAAACAGGACGATCGGCGACCAGCTGATCGCAATATAACACCAAGGATACCGATGTTTCAATACATAGAACGCAGGATAAAGACCTCAATCGTCCCTTGTATGCTGTAGCTGTCATACTTTCCGTCCAACCGCTTTTTAGCACAATTAACTAGAACAACCGAAGAGTTCGCAACACCGTTTAATGCGAGGCCTGAATGGTTACATCATCTAAGCAATGTCAACGAAAATGTTTGTAGCCACAGACCGATAATTTTAGTTTTAGATAAAGTACGCGTCACAGTTTCAACATGCGAATATTGTTGATAAGTACGTTCCTTTGGACCCGCGTACATTCGGTTCAACTTGACGACAGCTGCACCAACGTGAAAGCTCACGTCGAACACTTGCACACATATCTTGACTATGGCAAGAGTTTTTGCCTTCGACTGGCTTGAACACTTCATCTGTAGCATCACGGTAGGTCTTGGTTGAAACGATGATCGTCTCGCACACGGCAACAAACAGAGAACGACACGCTTTGCTTTATTTATACGCTACCGGCCTACGGGCGTCGCAAATCTATCCCCCTCTTGTCCGCCATGTTGGGTCGATCGGAGCGCACCCTATATTCGCTGAAACTCCTCAATATGAGCCTTGCTCCTCGCCGTTAACTGACTCGCATAGTTTTTTTTTTTTTTTTTTTTTTTAATTTTAGGGAGGAAGTTGCTGACGTCCGAAAAGGCGGTAGAACTCTTCTTCAGTCTTTCAGTTGATCCGACTCAAAGCGACGCGGATGGCGATTCATCCAGCGAAAGAAGACGTCATTCCTGAGCTAGCTCCTGTCGAAAACACCGTAGCGGAAAGGGACGAAAATGCAGCAGGGCCGTCTGCAGGTGCTACATCGAAGAAAAGAAAATCCTATGAAAGGAAGAAGCCCGAAAAACGCCGACGACGCACATTGGAGGTCGACAGCTTTGCCTAATCACAACACGAGGAAGATGAAGTGGATGCAACCTGCTCTTTGTGGTGCACAGACTTACCTACCGAGATTGTGAAGGACCCACCAGATCGAGATCCTCGGTACTCCGAAAAGCTTACCGAGGCATCAGGTGTCGCTGACGCATTCGGATTGCATTTTGATGAAGAAGTACTTGACACAGTCGTGCTAGAGACGAATCGTTATGCGCATCAGAAACGCCGAGCGGGGTGGAAAAACCTCACTATAGATGAGCTCAAAGCGTACTTGGGCATGCTTTTCCTGATGAGTGTGCACCCAGTGCATCACTTGTACTTGTACTAGAGCACAGATAAGTTCTTCAACGTTTGCGAGATCTCAAACGTCATGACTTTCAAACGATTTCAGGTGATTATGAACAGCCTTCATTTCAATAACAACGAACTTGAGAAGAAACGCGGAGAAGACGGCTTTGATAAGCTGGCAAAAGTGAAACCTCTCGTCACTGCCTTGAGCGAAAGGTTCCTGAGAGAATATGCGCCGTCAACGCATCAGTCCATCGACGAGAGTATGATACCGTTCAAAGGACTGTCTTCACTAAAACAGTACATGCCAATGAAACCGATGAAACGAGGCTATAAAGTTTGGTGTAGTACTGATTCCGAGACTGGCTACCTACTAGAGTTCCAGATATACGAGGGAAAGGATACCAAGCGACCCCCCGATCTCTCCTTGGGCGAACACGTCATTTTATCCCTTTCACATCACATGGAAGAGAACAGTCAGTTGTTTTTTGACAACTAGTTTACATCTACAAAGCTGATGGAGAAGCTCAGGGAGCAGAGAGTGCTAGCTGCATGCACATTCAGACAGACACGCAAGGACCTACCAATCGAGCTAAACAAGGAGTGCAAGCTTCAGAAAGGCCAGCACCTCTGGTGGTCCAAAGGATGTGTCACAGCCCACAGTGACGCGACAACAAGAATGTACACGCGATGTCCAACTACCATGACCCAGAAGAAGTCGTAGAAGCCACGAGGAAGCTTGCCAGTGGTGCCAAAGTTGGTGTGTCCTGTCCGAATGTGCATTCAGGCTAACAAGTGGATGGGTCGTGTTGACCGCTTTGATCAGAAGAGGAACACTTGCCCAGCAGACCGCAAGTAACAAAAAATGGTGGTGTCGAATTTTTTACTACCTGCTTGACGCCGCTGCTGTTAAAGGGGCACTCAAGCGGTTTTCGGAGAAGCTACTTTTTGGTGCGATGGCGTTAAGGAAGTGTCAGTGAATGAGTATCTTCAGTTTTACAAGGCAGAACCGACTATTAATCCTGCAGGAATAGAGTGTGTGCGGACTCTTTTCTGTACTTGCGAGGACCAATAAAATTATCGTATGTTTGAAAATTTTGGCGGTCTTTGTAAAGTTTCGCTAAAGAAACAATTTTCAGTTGATTTAAATATGTCGTAAAAGCGCTATCCTTGACTGTGAATATTCGTCGTGTGTTGCTATGATAACCCAGCACGTACTAGAAGGGAAGATCCACCTACGCGTGCAGCGATGTCGTGGCGGCACTCTCAAGACAGCAGAAACGCCCGTGCCGTCGTGTTTGTTTACTTCGACTACAGTGGTACTTTCTAAGCATTTGTGTCCTCGAACATCGCCCGGATTTCTTATTTGGCGCATTTCATGCGTGTGCTCAAGTTCAAGGTATTACTGGTCCATACCGTTTAAAGGATGCGAATTTGCATGTGTTTTCATGACCAGAGAAAAGTGATTAGTGTTAGCAATCCTGAACGCTCTCAACGTCTATCTGATCACGAAATCATATTTCTACGTTGCTATATCGCTGCTAAGATTACATTGTCTTTTATAATCATAGAAAAGGCGTGTGGTGATATTTGTACTATTGCGATGTCGTGTATTAGAGTCGTGATCATCCAAGACAGCGGACTGCATCTTTTTATTTTCTTTTTTTCATCCACTCTACCCTGCAAGCCTATCAAGAAAAAATAATAAAGCTTTAGGCTATAGAAAACTTTCTGTCTAAATTCTGTTACAGCATTGTGTGGCAGTGCATCCTCTTTTTAGAGGGGCCGCTGAAACAGCTGACGGCGGCGTATAGAAGCGGTCGCCATGCTGACGACCCGCTGCGCTTGTTGTAGTGGTTGCAGGTGTGTGTACGCACGGCGCAGAGCGGTCGTTGCGGTCGCTCCGGTTGCAACGGACGCAGTCGTAGGTACGCGCTCGTTGCACATGTCTGAACCAGCCTTCCCCCCGCCCTCCCGATGCGAAAGTCAACGTGGCAACATCGTTTGACATCACGTACCAGAGGTAACGCTGCGATGTCAAACGTGTGCTTGGTTACGACTTGCCTCAACCGCAAATCGAAGAACGCCCGAAAAGGTCTGCGTTTCGTCGTCCTCGGAACCCGAACATGACTCTGAAGCTCTGCTATCGTCCACATCGCACGTCGGTGTGGCGTCATAGGAAATCATCCCCAGGTCAGCTGTCCGCCGAAGAATTTCAATCTCTACAGCGTCAGGTCTTTGAGCGTAGAAAACTCCGCCATGATCGAAGCTCGAATGACAAAGAGGTTCGGCCGACGCAGCTACCTCGGGATCACTGCGCAACGAAACGTCGTCCAACGTCATTGGCCCGAGATTCTTTTGATAAGCGTGCGAGGACCAATGAGGGTGGTTTCGTTTTCGGATGGATCCGAGGTTTGGCGGCCTTCAAGTACATTTTTATTAAAGAAATAATCACCGTATGATTATTCTTTTGGGTTTTTAGGGATACTTAGGGCGTTTAAATTCAGCTGTCATCATCAAAACACAAACTCAGAAACCACTTGAGTGCCCCTTTAACAGCTCCGCTGTAAAAGCGGTTGCGCCTTAGAATGATGGCATGTTGTATTAAATAAAGCTAACCCATGGGCCCGGAGTGAAAAATGGGTTGAAAACATGTTTATTTTTCGAAATTCAATATAGCAATTGAGAAAACCGTAAATGAAGATGATGCCGAAACCAGCATTCAAATTTCCGCGTGCTCTCCGGTGGTGTGACGTCACAAATGATACAGACTTTCAGGTCGTCTTGAAGAGAGTATGCCGAGCGTTTTTTGCGTGCTTCTCAGTGAATCAGCTACCAATCATTCTTTTAATTCCTACCACCAGACGTCTTGCAATCACTTGGGAACGTGGCATACTGCCCACTTTGTACCATTTCCCTCATAACACTTCAATGTTGCCAGCTCCCGGTTCAAGAAACACTATGAAAACGAAATTAGAAAATTCAATAACTTTGCGAAATGCTTTTCTTTTCACACAATACTTAAGAACTGGTACAGCCTGTCTATTGGTCTGTTGAGTCAATTTTGAGGCAAATCAGCAACCATGAGAAAATCTCCGGAGTACCCCTTTAAACCATGGAGAGGGGGAACAAGGGGGACAAATGACAAACACAAATCTCCAAACACAGCTACGTGACTGGTGCATGCTGAAAAAATCTGCCTGGATGGTATGGGACCAGGGGCCTCTCCATTTCCAGTGGAGAGCTCTAGCAACTGAGCTAAACAGGAGAAAGAGTTTATAATTGTACTTGCCTGCACCTTTGCATTAATTGCATTAACATTACAACCTTAAAAAGTAGGCTGTTCACCCGTGTTGGTGTTAAACTGGTGGCCACTGATAAAACCTGTTAACTCAGTTGGTAGAGCGCTCTCCTATAATGAAGAGGTCCCTGGTTTGAAACCAGGACCAGGCAGACTTTTTGGGTCATGCACCAGTCATCTAGCTGTGTTTGGCGATTTGTGTTTGTCCTTTGTTTCCCTTGTTCCCCTTCTCCAGGGTCTATTACAGTTCATTCTGTTAAGCTCACAGTGTTGGGAAGTACTTTAAGTACATTGTACCTAAAGTACTGCTTCAAGTAGATTTAGAAAACTTGTACTTTACTTTATTCTCCGAGTATGTACTTGTACTTTACTTAAAGTATTTTTTTCTGGTACTTCCCGAGGAAAGTACAATTCCCGACTTCAAAGTATGTTCTCCAAATTTGGTTTTGTTAAATTTGTATCACGAAATGATGCCTTGTCTACTCCGAAGAAATACTGGGAGGGATATCCTACTCTCACCAGAAACGCAAACAGACGACGCATCGGTCCGTTTGTTCTGGGGGCGGCGTTCCCATAGCTTTTTGAAATCTCGCTACGTCTTGGTCGGTCAGCGCAAGCGAGGAGGTTTAAAGTATTAGGAGAGAAAAATTAATCGTAATGTAGCATCTGAGACTGTAATGCGAAAAACGAAATTTTCAAGTCAAAGTAAAAGACAGCGGAGAAGAACGTCACAACCTTTTGAGACATTCTTTTTTGTCTTTCCCTTCTATTTGAAAGTTCTTTCATTTTTTCACACCCCAACCTCAGGTGTCACATTATGATTAATTATAACCAGCTCGCTTGCACAGTCACTGCTTTTTGTTCTTATTTTTGTTTCAGAAGCTACGGGGTTGACGTCATGCTCTCTCCTAGTACATTTAGCACCCTTGAGTGCAGCAATCCACTGCAAGGGGTGCCAAATTCAGAAGTGGGACTTCTGAATTTGGCTTAATTCCTGAAAATAACTACTCTGTGGCCACTTTATCAAATATTCGCCGCTGTTTTCGAAAATACCCCTGGGCAATGCATACCAGTTAAAAAATCATTGTATAGGGGAATGGAAGGGCGTCATGAAAGATTGTGTTAAAATACTTGCACTTTACTTGAAATTACATTGTTTATAGTACTTTGCTTCAAGTACATTGCACCAAGTGTACTTCATACTTCACTTAAAGTACATCACGTATCATTTACTTTGTACTTTACTTGAAGTATCTTTTCGATGTACTTTACCCAACACTGACATAATAAATCAAGTTTGATCCCTGGTGGAAACTGAACTTTGGTTGCTGCAGTGGCAGTTGGATATCATAGCCACTGAGCTATTGGCATAGCTGATCTCAAGGGATACATGATTTTTACAGCGAAGCTGTTATACGCTGGGGTCTGGGAAAGATGGCGTCCTCACGTTTCGACAGGAAAAGCCCCATTGGACGTGGAAAGTATGAATAAATAAAAACAAAAAGAAAGGGGCAACCAGAATGAGTCAGCCTTCCTTGGCATTATTAGATAGTGAGGTTCTGATCCCTTGTTATCATCTCTAGGCATCGTCCTCGAGGACGTCCTAGAGATCGTCCTAGAGGTAGTCCGAGAAGTCATCCTAGGCGTTGTCCTAAAGGTTGTCTCTCGTGTAACTCATACTTTTTGTTCTCTCAACCCTGTTCAGCAACACCCGCGGCCCCACAGGTGCTGCATCTCCGCAGTGCACCGCTGTTCCATGATAAGCGAGCCCACTCGGGATAATAGTCCACAATAGACAACTTTTTTGCCGGATGAACAAAACTTGTGTTTTGAGGTGTCATGTGCTGTCTACACAGTCCACAATGAAAAACATTTTTGAGAGACGAACAAACTTATCTCATACCTTTCACGAATTCTTCATCTGTGGCATACTCATCAAATATCTGCTTTGTGTGTGTAGCCATCCATATAACAAGTCATCATTTCAGCTCACATCATGTGTAGACAAATGTCCAAAAATTCAAACTTCCGATAATTCAGATGAAATTTGTCGCCTCCTGGAGTTTGAACTGATGAGAGCCTACTGTGTGAGGAAGGAGGTGGATGTGAACAAAGGAGAGTTTGGACGCTTCCAGCAGCTGTTCTTGCACGCTAATCTTCCCTGCCTTGGCACAGGCCCGAGGGCCGCTACCGCTTTT